CTTTGTTCCTGCTGCAGCACTAAAATTTAACATCTGTGATTCTTCTCAAGCAAGAGATGCTGCAATGTTTTCAGCAGCTTCTCCATGGTGCTGTCACAAATATAATACTGAAATCATGCTCAGTACCCACTGATTCTCACCATATGACCTTCTCCTCAAAGGCTAACATCACGTGATCCTTGGTTAGCCTTTCCCTATACATTTAAACATTTAGCCTTCTGGTTCTCAGGCACTCCTCTTAATTATTTACCTCTCTGCCTTCAGATTTCAGCTCTCATGTCCATTGACTTCTTTGCCTTGTTCATTTAGTGAACTCAATATGCCTAACACCAGATTCGTCATTTCCCTCCAGAGTGGCTTGCCTCTTGCCCTTGCTCTTGATTCTGTGCGTCATGAACCTAAAAAAAGAATTCACCATCTTGGGTTTCTCCATTGCTTATATTCCCCACACTTGTAATGGGATTCTTGCACCATTATTATGGCAAAAACCGGTATTATGCCACGCTGTCTGGGACAATTCCCAGCCATTATCAGGGATATCAAAAAACCCCAAGTGGCTCTTCATTCCGTTTCATGTTGGTCCAGTTGCTGGTTCCATTCTGAACTTGAGATTCCAGTCTCTTATCTGTTCCCAGTTCCTGCCCTGGTTCCTTAACCTTTTCTGCCAGATCTCCCTAATGTGTACACCAGCACTTCTCAAACTTTAATGTGCATGTAAATTCCTGGGGATATTGTTAAAATGCAGATTATGATTTAGGAGGTGTAGGGTGGGGTCTGAGGTTCTGTATTTCTAACAAGCTCTCAGGTGATGCCCAAGCTGCTGACTCAAGGACCATACTTTGGGTAGAAAGGGGTCATAGCAGCAATCTTCTAGATGTGCTTTCTTACTCACTCTCTTCCTCTGTAGAAGGAAAAGCACAGACACTATCATGTTGTCATGATCTCTGGATCGCATACTGTCTACATCACTGGTCCCCACTGTACAAGAGTGAGGGAATCCCCTGGGGACCTCCTGAAAAATACTGATTCTTGGGTGCCATCCCTGAGGATTCTGATTCAGTAGGTCTGGGATAGGGCCTCCGAGTCTGTATTTTAAAGAAGCACCCCAGGCAATCTTAATGATTTTTTAAAAGTCAGTGTCATACAGGCTAAAAAGTTCAACTCAAACCTTGATGTAAAGTCTTTCCCAGCTGACTCAATCTCATTTGTTACTCCCCTTCAAACCCTTGTTCAAGGCAGACTGTCTCTCAAACAGACAGAGCATCCCCTTCTCTTTACTCTGGTTCCACTTACAAATTCTACCCACTCTATAATAATTTGTGATGTCTACATACACTCATTGTCGCTCTACCAAGTACACTAACTACTGGAAGCCACAGTGCTGTGCACATAGCTGGTGGGAAGAGACTTTATCTCCACTGTCTCTGGTCCTGTTGAGTCTGCCTATCCTCCCAAATTCTACCAAGTCATTGTCCCTCATAATCAAGTCCCACAGAAAATCCACTTTTTTGAAGAATGGAAAATGTGACTTGCTTGACGGAAATAGAACAAGAAGTGACACCCCTGCCCTGACACATAAGAAAGGATGCTGAGTCACACTCCAATTCTATTCGGAAAATGGAATCCCTGAGGACAGGGACTTTGTATTATATTTGTTCTATGTTATTTTCATAAGTCAAAGGCATCTCATGATCACCATTAAATAAAAAGCTAAGTAAATGTCTAAATATTTTTTGTGATCTGCTGGAAGGTGACACATAATAGTGGGGAGGGAAAGAGCCATTACAGCCAATTAGTTGAAATGACATAAAAATTCTCTAATTAGTTTTTTTGAAACATCCTTGCTCCCAGAAAATATTAGGTGTTGAACCTCAATATATCTTCACTCCTAAAATACCATTAGAACAAGTCTCTAGGACTGTGGAACACATAAGGCTAACACCAGCCCTGACAAATTAATATGTATCAGTATCAGTTTAACTTACATGGGAAGAAACATGAATGGCCTAGTTGGATTTAAGAAGTGAGATTGACTCAACATAGAGGGGTATCCAAAGAAATAACAGAAAGAACAGCAGAAGTCGTCTTTGTGAAGCAAAAATATGCTCTCTGGACCAAACTTCTTAACACAAAAACAAGATCCATCACAATCTCACCCAAACCTGCCTCTAGCTGCATTTCACACTGCTCTTTCCCCACCCCCTCTCTTCCAATCTGGACGGCCTTTCTGGACTTATAGCTGTTCCCTGCTCAATGCCATGCTCTTTCCTTTATGCCTGTGCCCTAGGAACATTCTATTTTCTCTGTTCAAAAGGTTCTGCCAAACACATAACCTTTAAGATCAAATGTCACCTTCTCTGGAGAAAAGGTAGTTGCTTTGTCCTAGAGAGGGGATGGGGTCTAAGTTGTGACTTTTTTTTAAGAAGCCCCATTTATTTCTATTTAAATAATACTCAAGGAGCTTTCAGAAGGTTAAAAGGCTCAAAGATATCAGGTTTAAATAATATCATAGCCAGGTGCTTGCTGTTGCTGCCGCTGTTTCAAAATTCGCAGGATGACCCTGGGCAGTTCAATGCCTCGCTAATTCTTCTAGTTCGAGTGGAACTCCTTTGAGTTTTGGCATGATTCATATAAGGCTATCCCTCCAGTAATGACGACAAAAAAACAATGCCAGAAGCAATCATAGTCATTGAGAGGAAGAAAGGTAAATGATCAGAGAAGAGAGCCACCGCAGCCATTTTAAGAAGCAAAATTGTTAATCCAGTATAGAACAAACAGAATCGTTTGCAGAATCTATGTGAGAACCCTTTTTGTATTATTTTTTGAGACCGAGTCCTCTGACTATGAGCTGAGTAGTTGGGATCATGATGGATCTTATAATAAAATGTATCTTTGGGTTATTTTTCTCAAGCTTTTGCAGTACCTGAAAACTGGTAGATATTTGATAAATGTGTTTCTAGTAAATGTGGGAGTTGCTGATTCACCTGTGTGAGTAGGCCCTTTTGCCTATTGATCCAAGGTCAATTGCCCTTCTGACTTTATTGGGCTTTCCTAAAGTAAAATCACAATAAAATTAAAATTTCTCTCAGTCGCAACAATAATAGTTATAGCAATACCAGCTAATACTAATTGAGCACTTACTATGTGCCAAATATTATGAAGTCTTAACTTCACAAATTATTCCCACTTTACAGATAAAGAGCTTGAAGCTTAAGACACCAAATAACTTGCCAAGATAATAAATGAGGAAGCCAGGATTTAATCACAGAGTCCATATACTGCATTAATATGTACTGTTATCAACTAATCAACACCACTAGGCTCATGGTTATTGACTCATTACTGGTGATGCTGATCTCCCCTGAGAAGCTCTTCCCCTCCAGGAGTGCAACATCAAACTCTCTACTGCTGACTGAGAGGAGCACAGGTCCTTTGGACTTATGGAAGGAGCATATCGACCATTTCAGTATTGTAACCTCCCACTGGAAATTTCCATGACAACGCAGTTGGAGGCTTTCTTGCTGAGCCCTGGCATGGTGATAAGTGCAAGTTCTTTTATTCCTATGGAACCTGAAAAAAACAAACAAACCTTCAACAGCAACATCTGCTAGTAACTGCTTCCTGTGATGTTCCTGCGATGGAGCTGGTTCCACATAAGTCTTGAAGATACACCCTTGTAATGTATTTATAAATTGTTGGCTAAAGGTCTAAGCTCCAATCTAATAGTACCTCCTCAATAAAGCCTTTCCTGGCACCCTGTCCACTCTGTTATTTTTTCCACACCTTAATTCCTCAGTATTCTGACAGTACATTTCTCACTCAGGACTTCAGAGGAAATTTGCTATAAAACGTGGCAAGCATTCAGTAAATAATTGCATCAAAATGGCAATTCATGTCATTTTTAGGTCCAAGGAGAAAAGGTCCATTTTTCTGGAAAAGGTCTCAGAGTTAAGAATACATCTGGCTCCTGATTTAATTTCTCCCGGTAGAGGGAACGAGGATGGCCTGGCAAAGCCACAGGAAAGAACATGTGTGTGTGTTCTGCTTCTGGTTTTTCCCAGAGGCAGTGACTGAAGGTTTAAGGCATGAGTCCCGTGCCTATTTTTCCTCACTGGTATCCCCGTTCAAAAAGGCAGTGGGAAGGCTGAGTGGGACAGCTCACACATACACACCCTGTGCATCTGTGTGCATTTCATTTAGAGACAGACCTCATTTTAGAGCAACCTTATTTAACATGTCATTCTAATGTATTGGAAAAGATGAGAAAATAGATGTGAGTTCCATCTGGATTCGTGAGAATAGCATCAGAAAGATTCGCTGTGCCGCTGCAAACTGCTAGCAACATACCTACCAAAGGTGCTGCATCTTAAGTGAGAAGCCAAAGGTATCTGTTAAAGCCCCGTGGGCCTTGGAACTGTAGTCTGCTGGTGGAGAGTAGGCGACTGGGCAGTGATTGAAGTGTCCAGCAGGGGGCTGGCATTCTCTGTCTATAAGTAGCCCTGGTTCCTCTTCAGAGCCTCAGCTCAGCAGAGCTGCCGTTTGCTAGTGAAGCCAGTGACGTGCAAGGCATCCTGCCTATAGGATGTGAGGCTTTCTCAGTGCCGTTTTTTTCTACCCACTTTAAACCTTCAGGGTCTAAGTATCAGGAAAGACAGGAAATGCCGTGTGAAAATAGCAGACCAAAAGTTCTTAGTTGACTGCAGCGAGGGAGACTCAGATTGGAATGGAGGTAGAAAGAGTTGAGACAGACTGGGTTTAATTCTGAGCCCTTTTTGGACTGAATTTAGAACTGCATTGCATTGTTCATGTGAAGATGAGAGCAGTACCAGCATCAAAATAGTGACAGTTTTGATGCCATAGTCTATATGTACTCAGAGTATTTTTATTAAAGAAAATAAAGAGCCTAGCAGAGATTTTGTCCTCATCTGCACCCAACTGCAAAAGCAAAAGTTAAGGAACAGCATCTGAGGACGCTCTGTAGGTGGGAGAGAATCTAGAGGATGGCTCTCAATGATTGCTGGCTTCAGAGCATGTCCTGCAACTTCTCTAATCACAGTATGGATCTCCCCATGAATGAGGACTGGTTCCACCCAGGGATCCTCTATGTCATCCCTGCAATTTATGGGGTCATCATTCTGATAGGCCTCATTGGCAACATCACCCTGATCAAGATCTTTTGTACCGTGAAGTCCATGCGAAATGTGCCAAACCTCTTCATCTCCAGTCTGGCTTTGGGAGATCTGCTCCTCCTGGTAACCTGTGCTCCCGTGGATGCCAGCCGGTACCTGGCTGACAGATGGCTGTTTGGCAGGATTGGCTGCAAACTGATCCCCTTTATACAGCTCACCTCGGTGGGGGTGTCTGTCTTCACACTCACGGCTCTCTCCGCAGACAGGTAAGTACAGGAGGACAGTTACATTCTCTCTGAGGGTGGTGGATACCTCAGTAAAGGAGCTACCACATTGGGACAGACAGAGCTGTTTGCAGAAAAGGAAGTTTTACTCAAACTCAGATTCCCTTCCGGGCATGTATTTTTGTTCTGGGGATTACTTCTGGAGTTTTACCTGTTGGTTTAAGAAAGAAAAGGGAATGGATGGCAAAAAAAGGGGGGAGGGCAAGAAAGAAAAATAATTAGCATAAGATGGAGGTGCATTTTCTGGACACAAATTAATTTAGCATGGCTTTTCCCTAACTTCTCCCCCCTACAAAATTAATTGACTACTAATAAAAAAGATCACAACTAATAGGGTTTAAACCCCAGGCAAATGTTTCTTAGAAGCATTTTAAAATCTTTAGAAAAGCCCCACTGCATTTCTAATGCAAAATATTCTCTCAGAAATGACCAACAGGAGAAAATAAGTGGCATTTCCTTGAAATTCATTTTCCTCAGTTGAACTTTTCTCACAGCTGATTTTGTCTTTGGCTCTCTGTAAATGAACAGCTTGTGTGCTGTTTTTTCTAGCAATCTCTTAAGTGAAATGAAGCATTATTAGATTTTTTTTCTTGAGAAAGCTCCATTCAAGTCAGATTTGGGGGAATTTTAATATCTTTGATGATGTACTTCCATATACATTGTGTTTAGAGTGTTTGCGGCGGGGAGTCCGTGCAATGTTTTATTCTGGGAAATATACATATTTGTGAACTGCATTGCTTGTGTGAACCTACTGCTTAACAATTTCTATTTCTTCATTCTTAAAAGTTCATACTCACTCTTTGAATACCTGCTTGAATTAAGCAGTCAGGAAATACCTGCAGGATGCTCACATAAATTGCTGAATGTATCTTATGTATTTCTGAGCTCTAGAAACTGGACACACTAATGAATAGACTCCAGACACATCGTAGACCAGATTGTCAAATTAAAAAAAATTGGTAGAGTGAACCAAAGACTAGAACTTTCTATTTTAAAATCAACTGTATGTTATAGTGTTAAAGATACCTAAGGATTTGAAAGCGTACCAGGAAAGGCATAGAAACAGCTCTTGCAAATTTATGCTCTAAAGAAAATTTCCCACATTTTAATACATGTGGTGCTGGATTCTCATTTCGCAGAGGAACAAATAGTCCTCAGGTGATCTGGCTTTGAGTAATGGACAAATAAGATAATGTTATCAGTATTTGTAGACATGAGTTTATACTTAGCTGCCTGAAGTACACTGCTCAGCACACACGGCATTTTCAAAGATTGAAAACTAACAGCCCAGAAATGAGGTTTGCACATCGCACCGGCTGGACAGGGTCTCTCCATTCCCGCTCCTCACCTCCAGCCTTCTGTGACCCTGAACATTTGCCCACAAGGTACTAATGACCACAGGTAGTTTCAAGTATTGATTCAGGGCAGGCAAACTTTGGAGCAGGCAGAAGGTCTGGGGCTCATTACCAATGGCCGAGGACACCTCACGATGAGGGGAATTTTCTTGATGGGAAGTTGAGATTTTTGTTTCCGAGTTGTGAGTGCAGTGGTACAGATGATGTTTACTGTCTTCTTGGGGTGGGGGTGGTGGGGGGGGGTAGGGAGGAAAGTGAGGGCATGGGATGTAAAGATGTAGCTGCACAGAATCCCTCCCCAGAGTTTCAAAGCAGACCAAATTCACTGTCAGCAAAAGAGCGCTTTCAAAGCTGGGTTGCACACTTTGTCAGCTCTATTGTGTTTTCATTGAGTCTATAGTTAGTTACTGTGCGTCCTTCCCAAATCCAGAAATTACTATGAGCATTCATATAACTAACTTTTTGTGTTTTGCTAAGGCTTTAAAAGGTTGATGGATCATCTGAATCACAGGTAGTGCATCTAACCTAATTCAACAAGAATAGGGATTGAGCTACTTAAATAATATGAGAGTACTTATCTATTGATTTCATTTTTGTTGTTGTTGTTGTTAATGCTCACCAAGGATATTTTTCCATTGATTTTTGGAGAGAGTGAAAGGGAGGGAGAGAGACAGAGAAAGAAACATTGATGTAAGAGACACACATCGATTGGTTGCCTCCTGAACACAACCTGACCAGGGCTGGAATTGAGCTTGCAACTGAGGTGAGATATGTGCCCTTGACCTAAATCAAACCCAGGACCCTTTGGTCTGAGGGCCAATGTTCTATCCATTGAGCCAAACCCGCTAGGGCTATTGATTTCATTTTTAAAAGATGTTGGAGCTTTATAACAACCTCATGAGGTTAGTAGGGTAAATATATATATCCACACATACACAATATCTATTTTTTCTCAATAAGGTATAATTTACATACAGTAAATTGAACAAGTGTACAGTTCAATATATTTTTACACATGTCTACTAATATATAACAACATAACCACCACCCAGATGAAGATATGGGACAGTCCCAGCACCCTAGGAGTTTCTTTTATGCTCCTTTCCAGGTAATACCCATCCCTATAAAGAGACAATCACTATTCTGAGTTTAATTATCATAGATTATTTTTGCCAGTTCTTTAATCTGATGTAAATGGAATCATACTTCTTATGCTTGTCATTATGTTTGTGATAGTCATCAATCTTGGTGCACATAGCAGTGGTTTATTCTTTTTAATCATCATGTAGTATTCCATTGTATGAATATATCTCAATTTATTTATCCGTTCTAATGTTGATGGACATTGGGTTGTTTCCAGTTTGGGGTTGATGATAACCTGCTCTGGATATTCGTATTCATGCCTTTTGAGGTACATCAGTGTTTATTTCTCTTGAGTATATGCCTCGGAGTGAAATAGCTAGATCATAAGAGTCATATACTTAGTAAATATTGTCAAAGAGTTTTCTAAAGTGGTAGTCTGTAGTGGATAGATTGGTAAAATGGGTGAACCAGAAGACCCTCCAAACCTTATGATCATCACAGTCATTGGGGAGCTTAAAAATGTACAGGTTCTTATCCCCCATCCTAAATCTACTGAATCAGACCTTCTGAGTTGTGAACAGACACAGCAATAATCATCCATCCCTGCTTCCTGTAGGTTGACCAGCAATGTCATTACTTTTATCCCAACCTCCCTTCTGCAGTCTTCCAGATGAACTTGAGTCTTTGTTAATATGAAAAGAGTAACATTTTTCTAGAAAAGTTTATATTGCTGCCACTGTGTCAAAGAGAGACTTCAAAGCAGCCCCAGAAACCAGAATTCTGGCTTTTGTATGGCCAACCAATTGCACATTTGCACTCAGACTCCTTCATATAAGTTCCTGCCTTCTCTCGCCTTCCACGTTTTCCTTCCTTTACATACACACTGATGTCCTCATACACGGTGGTTGTACTGAATTCTTGGCTCTGCTTCCTAGCTTATGCTCTCACCCACTCTCCAGAATGTGTTCTCCTTTCCTAAATAGAAGACTCCACTCCCCATCCCATGTAAATTATGGCTTGGAATGGGCATTGATAGCCCTGCACTTTAGGCCTTTTTCTGCCACTATTTCCTGTAAGAGGGAGTCAGACCAAGTCATTTAACTCTCTGACCTTAGTTGAATTATCCATAAAATAGTAGAGTTGAGCTAGATTACTTCAAAGATCCCTCCAAGTTTTAAAATCTTATGAGGTTTTTTAATCTCTCATTTTGCCTATCATTTGGAATCTGGCAAAAGCCTCCTCCTTAAAGCCCTAAGTTGGACAATTTTAGCCCAGATTTCCTAACCCTCTTCTAAATGTGAGACTTATTATCTGAGACATAAATTATCTTGTGACATCTTTCACCTTGCTGTTTTGAAATATTTCACTAATTTGTCTTTTTTTTAGCCTCTTATATATTCATTGCTTTAATTTTTCAAGTAGATTAAGAATGTTGAGGACAGGGATTTCTTATATATCTTGTATATATCTTGTACAGTTTCTTGTACTAAATGGATGGTCAATAAATATTTATCAATTAAAGTTATGGTTCATTAATGCATACTCTTTCTTCTCATTCTTATTATTCTTCTCCATTTTTAGGAATTTATCTGAAAGCATACTCTTAAACATGCATCATGCAGTCACCTGCTTCTTATTTGTTCCTCTCTATTAAGCTCTCATTATTTGGGTAAATGAGAGAAAAGCTATTCTTTGTGATTCAGTGAATAGATTCTGGGGATAAATAGATAATTGGATAGATGGAATGATAAGTAGATGGGTGAGAAGATGGATGGATGGATGAGTGGATGAGTGAATAAGTGGATGGGCAGGTGGTGGACAGATGGTTGGATAGATAGGTGAATGGTTGGATGGATGGATATATTTTTTACATAACGATCTTTCCTACTAGATACCCAACTCTGTACTAGGTGCCTTAGTATTGTGTAATGGAATTTAAGATCTGAATTGGACCCTCAGCAGAAAAAGGGTAAGTAGAGTTTGTGTTTTCTTTTCCAGTAAGTGTAAAGGTTAAAGCTGGATGTAAGGTTGGCAGCATATAATGCCCAAGTTATGTTGTGCCTGCTTCAGTATTATTATGCAGTGTTATTTCTGCTAGAATGGAACTGGCAGAATGAATCCTAAGGACATACAGATGTAGTAGTTCCATTGGGATGTGGTCCTTATTCAATCCCATGGAAGACTGTTCATAAGCTCCCCCTTTGCTGTGATTTGGAATGTATAAAGGAATAAGAAAATGTTACATTTATGCAGACTTCTTGAAGTACAGATTCTTTGAATTTATTGCCAGGGATTTATGAGGTAATGTAGTTTTCAGCCTTTCCTGACACCTAGAACTGGATGGTCCAACATGCTAGCCACTAACTACATGTGGTTATTTTTTTTTAAATATATTTTATTGATTTCAGAGGAATGGAAGGGAGAAAGAGAGAAATATCAATGAGAGAGAATTGTTGACCAGCTGCCTCCTGCACGCCCCCTATTGGGGATTGAGCCTGAAACCCAGGCATGTGACCTTGACCAGAATCGAACCTGGGACCCTTC